AGCAGGGGTCTCAAACACGCGCCCCTCCTTCCCCAGATTCCGTTGGCTTCCCAGAGCGGCGCGGGGGCAGGGCAGGCAGGCAGGCAGGCAGAGAGCCTGCCCTGCCCCCGGTACGCGCTGGTCCAGATCCTGCCCCCCGAACCCCTGCCGCACCCTGCACCCTGACCCCCTGCCCTGAAGCCCCTGCCTCACCCCGCACCCCTCCTGCATCCCAACCCACTGCTGTACCCTGCACCCCTCCTCCCCCCCCACCCCCCTGCCCCCCCACCCCCCTGCCCTGAGTCCCTTGAGCCCCTGCTGCACCCCTCACTCCTCCTGCACCCCACACCCCAACTTCCTGGCCTGAATTGAATTCAGTTCTTGAGATTCAGATATATAGTAGAGATGAGCTTGTAGTTGCCAAAAGTCCTTTTAGATATAGTCCATAGGTTATAATTGTCAGAGAAAAACAATGTTCTCACTCTTTTGGTTGGGTGCAGCAAAGTCAGATACTTTATTCTCAAGCAATTGCGTAGAGGGAGAGAGTGTACTAGGACACAGGGTTTCCCCCTCCTAGGCAGGTCTCTCTCCAGGTAAACAATTACAGCAAGCATTTATACCTTTTGTTACATACAATAATGAGCAACAGCTGCATTTTGTTTATACATAGGTCATCCTGATATCTTATTTTTCTCACTTATTTAGACTCTAGTCTACATTCCATATTATCTACACAAGGTCGCAACAACTTCTCACACAGTTCTTTCCCACTTGCCTCACACAATCCTCGCTTCTACAAGTCTCGCGTTATTAGGATTACAGTTAGCCTGACTCGTGCTAACAAAGACTGCATTTGAAATCCCCTTCAGATCCCTGTCAGGCCTTGCTCTGCTTCCACATAGTTCAATGCCCATATTCAGGGTGACACCAGTCAGTGACTGGGAATCTCAATCCTTATGGTTTAAGGTTTCCCTCTCTTGAAACCCAAAGCAGATCTGAGATGAAGAAGGATTGTGTCCCAGGGTTTTTATACATTTCCTGCAGCCTTTTGGCCTGAGAAAACAATTTCCTACAGCCTTTTGGCCTTCTCCTAAACATCATGACAATTAGCACAGGATAATTTATCCATTAAACAGTTCAGATACAGGTTACCACAACCTTCAAAGAGATATAGACAATAATACTATTTCACTCAAGTGTCTTCCTAAATCATAGAATATCAGGGTTGGAAGGGGCCTCAGGAGGTCATCTAGTCCAACCCCCCCTGCTCAGAGCAGGACCAATCCCCAGACAGATTTTTGCCCCAGATCCCTAAATGGCCCCCTCAAGGATTGAACTCACAACCCTGGGTTTATTAGCAATGCCCAAACCACTGAGTTATCCCTTCCCCTACTCCTTTTTTGATCTTTGAATCAAAGCTATAGCAATAGACAAGACTTGTTTGCTTACATTACAAGACCTGAGCAAACATCTACCCTTCTATCTCTAACAATGCAGACTTGCATTTCAAAGCTCTGTTCACTTACATATCTTCCTAACCAGTCTCTAAAGTTCAGCTGTGGGCCAGGTCAGTCTGTGAGTTAATTACCTCTTTTTGGCCCTGTCACCTTTCAATGAGATATTATATTACACTCATAACTTCACAAGGGGGTACGGGGCAGGGGGACATCCTGATATCAGCACCTCTCTCCCCCCCCACCCCCAGCAAGCAGGAAGCTCCTGGGAGCAGCTCCAAGGCAGAGGGCAGTGGGGGGAGGGACAGCTGAACTGCTGCTAAGCAGCTGCCGAGCCACATACCTTACAGGGAATTTAGGGGAGCTGATGGGGAGAGGGCTGCCAGCCCCCCCGATTCTAATCCCCACAAGGAGGGGCTGCTCTTCCAGAGAATCCTGCAAGCAGTGGACAAAGCAGGTAGCTGCCAAACAACATTATAAGAGAGCATTGCGCAACTTTAAACGAGCATGTTCTCTAATTGATCAGCAACGTAACTATGTTAACCAGGACAACTTTAAGTGAGGAGTTACTGTATAAACATGCTGGGGGAAAAAGGAATATGGGTTATTGTATAATAACTACCATGGAGTGACAACCTAATGGGAGAGCGGAACCCCTTTCTTTCATGTGATCTACAAAAATTGTTGTGCCTCTGCCTAGCAGTGAACAAACAACGTTCCCAGAGCTGTGTTGAGATCAGACAGTTATGCTGCACAACCCAAAAGCCTGGGTATATGGTGCCATGTACAGTAATTTGGGAGTTTATAGAAGCAAACCAACTGACAAGTAACAAATGGTGAAATCAGCAAGGCGTACGTTGGCTCTGTTTAAAACATGGCAGGGGAAAGGGAGGGGGCATAACTTTTTGTTAAGTGATGGAAGCCCCTTATTTTTATTCCCCTCCTTTGACTATTCCATTTGTCTGGCGTGGTATGTTTTGTGCAAGTACAAGCAGCCAGCTAAAGCTGTTAGTGAACAATAGGTTTATCCTGCACCCGGGAGAGTGGACAAATATCTTCTAGTAGATCTGCCAGTAACACTTATCTGAATCAACTAGCACTGTGCTTTCTGCTGGAAGCAGTCATCACCTTCCTTCCCAAGAGCTGAAGTATGTCCCCTCCTGCCTCATTCCTGGACAACCTGACCTTTGCTCATGGGTGGTGGGTATCATAGGCTGGGGGGGCTGTGCCTCCCCACACAGCCTGGCGTGGTCCTACCTATGCTCTGCCCCCAGGTCTCCTCCTGCATTTCCCGGTGCTCTGCCGGGGTTGGGGCTGGCCAGCCTGCCGTGGGGACTTGGGGCAGCTGGCACTGGGGCCCACTGGCCGTCCGGTGCTCTGGGGCTGGGGGCCATGGCAGGGGTGCTCTGGGCTCCTGTGGGTGAGGGGGGGTGGGAGGGGCAGGGCCTTGGGTAGAAGGGGAGGGGCCAGGGGCTAGCCTACCCCCATGGCTGGATCATTGGCTGCCCATGACTTCGCTGGTGTAGGGAGAGGAAAAATACCCATGAGTAAAATGCTGGCCCCCTTGAAGTCATGACTAGCATCCATCACATGTCATTTTTTCTTTCCCTCTTCTTCTCTCAAAGGAGAAATTGAGTGGGTTTTTAAATAAGTAATTTAATGTGTTACATCCCCTGTGCTCTGTGGGTGCTTGAGAAGCAAATTGAAGACCTGCACCTTTATACTTGGAGTGGAACGTGGTGACTTTGGTGAAGTATTTAGTTCCTGGGGGAGTTCATTCCACAGCCTTGGACCAGCCCTTGAGAAAACCCTGTCTCCTTCACAGACAGTCTTTATGCTTGAGGTACAGAGTTACATGTGTCTGAGGAGTATTTCAGTTTGTGATGTTTTATTATCAAGTAGTGGGTGGAAGCAGCCCACTTTTAAAGGTATAGTTACAAGTAAGAAAAGAGGATTATCTTTCACACAGCAGCAGCATAATACAATGATTTTTGCCCTGGTAGTTGAAAATTAACATCCATGTGAGGTATTTGAGATGGACAATGAGTTCATGTTACAGCAAGGAATGATCACATTTATTCTGGTTATTACAAAACACTGGCTATCAGATGGCCAGCATCTTTGGTGTCAGTCAAGTAATTCACCAGCAGTACTTGCCGCAGGACGTCAACTGTATGCAGCGCAGGGGTGGTAGTGTGTCCTGTGGGATAATCACAAAATAGTCAGCAATTTTGACATGTTCTCTTTTATGTATGTGTTTGAGGAAGTACTGATTTTGATACTGCATTTATTGTCATTCAAAATAGCCAACACAGATGGGCATTTCTAGGTTCCAATGCTTGAATCATACCTAACTTTTTAAATTACAAAATACTGTTTTTCTTAAGTCTGCACCATACTAAGGTTTCCCCCTGGAACATATATCTGTTCCTATTAACTACATATATTGTGAGAGTGCCTAGAGGTCTGAATCAAAATCTTTGTGCTAGTGCTGTACATGTGCACACGCACAAACTACAGTCCCTGCCTCCAAGAACTTTTCACTGATCAGTTAATTTCAAACTTGAAACTTAATTTCAAGGGCTAGTATTTTTCTAATGTCAGAAAATTAATGTAATCTTTGTAGAGCAGCTTTCACCCCAGAGCACTCTGCAAAGTACAGTACGTCTAGCAGCACTGTACAATAGCCAATAGGGTGTCCAACCTATGGCACTCCCAAGGATCCTTAGCCAAAACACTAGTCTTACTACAAATGTTCTATGTTCTCTTGTCTCTGCACACAGCAAAAGAAAGAACCTTAGTTATTAAGGTCTCATCTGAATGTTGGTGGACAATGTGAACTGTCTGCCTTAAAACAAATAATCAAATCCCTCTTTAAAATTATCTTTAAGAGGCAAGTAAAAGACCCCCATTTGGTTAAAATGGATACAGCACAATTTCACTACCTTGGAAGAAAGTGATTAATCCCCCCACTAGGATTTGAACCTGTGGGTCCTGCTGTTTTTAGGTGCTGATAACATAATTATCAGTTAAACTAGACTGATAATCACTTAGATTTTGGAGAAAGGGGAGTGGACACAATTTGGCATCTCAGAAAACAACGGAGATATAATGGCTGAGGTCTCACCTTTTGAAGTTATTGGTGGCTGTTTCACCAGGTAAGCGTAATTTCACTCTGGTTGATCTGTCCTATAATTTCATTGTATTTTCTGGTCAGGGCATTGGCTTTTCTGGTCAGATGGGTCAGGACACGATACAAGCCTGTAAAGTGATGATAAAGCAGTCCTTCGAGATCGGCCTCTTCTCCGTTCTCTTGTACTTCTTCTCTGCTGGTGATTTGGTGTTTGCTTTCATTTAGAGGCGCCAGTCTACCCTCCACCGCGAGTTTGATGGATTTCAGTTGCATGTAATACTCATACAGGTCCCTGTTGCCAAAATCACCAGTGGATGCGTCATCCTGTTGTTCCATGTAGACGCCTCTGAGGAGGCTGGGAAACATAACCGCATGTTCCATCTTGCGGATTGCAGAGAAGTACTCTTCCATGGCTGTGGTCAGACGGCTTCTCCGGCTCTGAATCTTGCTGGCTTCTGCAGGTCTTAAGAGGGATGCTGGCTGATGGTGCTAAAGCCTTTCAAGCTGCTTGGCTGTTACGATGAGAGTGAAAGGAGCACAGGGGACAGGTGGCTTTTAACAGTGGAGGGAAGGGGTGTGTATACCAGCTAAAGACACTCCTCTATTTCCAGCTAATCACACCACTGAGCCTCTGCAGGTCTCCAAACCTGCTTAGTAATCTGTTCAGGGTCAGCATTGGGTCTGTATTTGCAAGCTGGACCTCACCCCAAATGATACTTAACTAAATTTCAGAACTTGGCCTTAAAGCAGGAATTTCATAGGTCATGTTATCTTTCAATGACCAGATAAGAAAATGGCCATGAAGATAACTGCTGATTGGAACAGAGTTTTCCCTGCCCCCTTTCCTAGCACCAAATTGGAAATGCCGGTGTCTGCAGCCTTCACGTCTTGCATCAGCTGTTCATAGAGTAATGATTTCCCCTTTTGTCCTCACTCATTAAGTTTGCACATAACTCTGCCATGGCTGGGAAGCTGAGTAACCTTGAAACCCATATGCATATCTAGAACAAGAGACTCAACAAGCATGTGTCTCACAAGTGATCAGCAAACCAGATACATTGTATTAAATTGAGACCGAGAGAGAGTTGGAAGTTTGTCTAGATGCGGGGGAGAGGGGGAATAAAATAATGAGATGACAGAATAATATGATATCTAGTCAAGATCTCTATTAGCAGGTGACCCTAGACTTCACTGTGTTAGAACAGACACAGGCAAACCATATTTCCAGCCGGTTGAGAGGATTTATTTTTAGCCAGCTTGAAGAGACACTTTTTTTTTTTTTTTTTTTGGAGGATTGTACTACAGTAGTGTGGTGAGGGCCTGCCTGAGATTGGAGCCTTAGGATGCTAGCCCCTGTACAAATATACGCTATCAGACAAACCCTGCCTTAAAGAGTTACAGTCTAAATAGAACACGAGTACTTGTGGCACCTTCAAGACTAACAATTTATTTGAGCATAAGCTTTCGTGGGCTACAGCCCACTTCTTCATATGCATAGAATGGAACACATAATAAGGAGATATATATACATACAGAACATGAAAAGGTGGAAGTAGCCATATCAACTCTAAGAGGCTAATTAATTAAGATGAGCTATAATCAGCAGGAGAAAAAAAACCTTTTGTAGTGATAATCAAGATGG